AATTGACTTTGTTGATTATAATATAAACAATATTGCCTATTGAAAGCCTTCGCAATTGTTTAGGCTTTGTCGATTCAGTTTCATGTTCGTATACAAAATAGCTAATCGATACGTTATGTAATCTGCAAGTAGAATATTATATCTATATATTATCCTTGGCAACTAGGTATAAGTCGCTAAGGATAGGCGTATTGAAAATATTCGTTCATGTATAATATTAAAAAAGCGAATGTCCATGGCATTTATTTAAGAAGATTAGCTAAGGAAAAGAATATAATTCATCCATATAGATCCTTTTTTAACACAATATTTTCATATAGATAGATACCTATACATTTTTAGAACGCAAAAACTTTTATGAAAAAGGTTATAAGTGATTTGGAACTTTCAAATCATTTTTTCAAACATAGTTATTCGTGGGTTATATATAAACTTTTTTCTTTGCTAAAAATCATGAATCCATGATCGATCTGTTTGAACATGTATATTAATACATATTACATAACAAGTCGTGTCAGTAACTTTATCAGCATTCTATGTCCTTCTCCATGCTAAATATTACATACTGCCATTACTAAAGTCAAGATCTCACAAACAACATACTTACATACTTCAAAAAACTAGTACAAATTGACCAAGATGAAACATGTAATTAAATAATTAATGAAAATATTAATATGTCAGAGACAATCTAGAATTTAGAATTATATTGTTTCCTGCATCGCAAGAAATACGAGTATTAGTAGTAATGCAGATATCAAGCTGTAACCCAGATTTTCTATTTATTTGAATAATATGATCTATGTAGGTATTCATAAAAAACTACAATGGCATGGTAAGTTATCATACTATTGTAGTATTTTGATAGAAAAAAAAATATAATTACTTGAAAAAATTTTAGTTCACAAATGTCACAAAAAATACATCAGAGATTTACTAGGAATAAATGAAAGTTTAAATAAGTTTTACATGAATGCTAGCACAGTTTCATGTATGTAATTAAGTGACCAAATAAGAAAATCTTTGTAATTTCTAGTATAAAACGAACACACATAAATAAGAAATTTAAAAAATATGTTTATGTTGTATATATGTGTATGTGTTCACCCATAAATGGCTGAATACATTTAAATGCAAACACAATATATATTAAAATTCAATTTGTTTATCTACATAAACATCGTAAAGATATCAAACATACTGTTGTATATGAAATGTGTTAATGTTCCCGGGTTTGGTTCTCTGTCAAGAAAGTTTAGGGAATAAGCATTCTAAATTGGCTCCAATCTCGGTATTCTGTGTTGTGTTCATTATCCGGTTTCCGAAAATACAGTGAGCTCGTTCATGGAGCGTCACGTCAATTGATTCATTCAATATTGACTCGCAATCTCTGTCTTCTGCTTTATACTCAACTGTATACGTGTACAACATCAACGTATTTAAATAATAAAAATCTAACATAAACCTAAAGTGATTTTAACAAATGCAGAGTATTCTAATGTGAGGCAATGCTTCCGATTTTAATTCGATTTAATTATAAATAAATGTTTTAAATTCTTTTAACAAAATTATTTATTGTCAATTCATTAGTATTTTATTTTTGTTTTTTCATCATTACACATATATTTTTTTATTCAGCCACTGCCCTTCTCAATTAATATGTGTAGTTTTTTTTGACATTTATATATATATATATATAAAAATAAAAAGTCATATCAATTTTATGAGCTCGATGTTTTGAATGTCGGATAGATTTGTCTGACTTCCTGATTGAGATCTATATTTTTGTTCAAGATTGTAAACCCTAGTTTGGGTACAGGCAATTGCAATGATTGTTTGACACTTATTTATTGTTATTGAAGTGGGACAACTGAATAATTGACGAATAATGGTGTCTTGTTCTGTGTTGCTATTCCCTGTACGGATTTCTAAAATCAAAATTGTAATTAATATTCTAGCAAAAGTATTATATTCTGTACCGATATGAACTTTTTTAAATAAATCTATTAAAAACTTTGTTTATACTGGTCTATAAAATAATAATTTGGCTCTAATATCAAATTGAAATTTTATTTTTAGAAAATGGTATTTCAAAACCAATTCCATTATGTATCTTTCTGATAAATTTTATATATTCGTACCTCAACCAAATTGTATACAAAAAAGAATAAGAGAAACTAACTACTACCCCGATGATGTATAGTCTGACCTCATGAAATTCAATGTTACATATATTCACATTACTGTCAAAATTCTAAATCTCCTCGAATTTTATAGGGTCACTTCATAGACATATCACGATAAATTTGTTATTTACTTATTATGCTACAGTTTAACAATCCAATATTAAAATATTGGATTGCAATTCATCTAAATTTTAACTATAAATTATATTTATATATATATATTTTATTAATTATTCTTTTTTAATTCTCTGCTAAATAAAATGACATTATTTATAGGTGGTTAGGTGACAGTTTATAGGTCTGTTAGTACATGAAATATATATTTTATAAATAATTTAATTTAATTTTAAATTTAATTTAATAAATTTTAGAAATAATTGAATATTTTTTACAGGGATATGTCCAAAAAATACAAAAATTTTAAGCTCAGCGCATCCAGTTATTATTTTAGTAGGTACCAATAGGACTTCATTTTTTGTCTTTTTATTTATGTATTTTTGAAAAAAAGTTTTAGTTTTATTAAAAGATAAATACGTTAAAAATAATTTGTGTTTAATCCTGTATATTCAATATTACTAAGTGTACTATAAACTGATTCAATCTTTTATTATTACTCGTATATACGTAGGTAAGGGGTAGAGATTACGAGCCCCATTACTCAATGGGGCTGGTAGTTCCTATTACAAACAATTTCGCGGAGAAGTCGACTTCCCCGTAGTTTCTTCTAAATAGACTTTCCCATGGAAATCATCGTGCTGATAATCATCACGAAGTAATTATCACGATGGGCTAATTGGCCTGCTTTACTTATGTATATATTAGGTACGGTATTAACAATTTACAACTTTTTAAAGGAATATATAGGAATATTTAGGTAATTTAAAGTTATTTAAATATTCTTATATATTTTGTGTTTATATTCTTAAATATTTGTATAAAAAACTATAAGATTCAAGAATAAATTATTCAAATTATCTGAACAGTACGATAGTTTAATGTTTGGATAAATAAATGTATGTAAAATAAATTTTAGTTTCTAGAATATATTTTGACTAAAATCGTATTAATATTAATATCTGTATTCGTTGTTGAATTTTACGTCTAGCTATCAAATTGTGTAGTACGCAAGGGAAATATGAGACTTTTATAAAAGCTCGTCAAATAAAAATCTTGTGGTAGATATAAAAAATGTTATAACAAAAGAAAAATTTGGAATATCGTAACTTTTGTACAAGTGGACTATTAGGTACAGAAAAAAGTTTAAAGTGTATTGGGTCGTTCTACTTAATGCCAATATTTGTTTTATTGGATTATGTCGATAGGAATATTTTTAATGTGTATTATGTTTAGGACTACAAAAAGATAATACATCTCGTAATCCACGAGATGTATTATTACTAGAATACTAGAATAGATTGAAACTAAAAAGAATGCGTTTAGTATTAAAAGCCCTTATCTAACTGGTATTTAGTTTAAAATTATTATTATAGGAATTTTTACTTGCGCTTCATTCATGAGGCCAGTATTTATTGATTTAATGGAAGAAAAATTAGTCTATTTCGCACTTTCCCTTTCTATTTTGTGCCATATTTCAAGGCACATACATAGAGAGGGTTCATGGGTCAGTGGCTAACGCATCAATAACAAACAAACACACTCATTTTCATATTTATGATATTGGCAAGGATATTCTACTCTATTTGTTTAGAAATCTGTAGAAGTCCAATTAAAAAAATGCTGACATACCTACTTCCCATAGCTTAATAATAATTATATTCCTAAGAAAAAATATATAATTATTATTAGGCTATGGGATAGGTTATATACATATTCCAAAATGATTACACTGATTAAATGTAAACATGGCTACAAACAATTTCATTTGTTTATGAAATTTACAATCAGCAAAAGGACAGTAGAAAATATAAATCATCGCTGAAAGTTCACGATCACATATACATCTATTAAATACATCATAATGTAACGTATAATACATCATTAGTTCCGCATTGCGACGCAATAACGATTTTGATTAAGACTTAATTTAAATTAATATATTAAAAATACATGTAATTCTCGAAATTGTGAATATATTTTCCATATAAAAAGACCGGTCTAGTCTTTAATTTTTTTCTTACACAACTTAGAATGGCAAACACGCTGACGGCCCACCTGATGAAAAGTGGTAACTGTCGCCTATAGACATAAACAGTACCATGGACATAGAGTATACTGTTTCGTTCATGATACCCCCATGCGTTACCATTTCTGAGGACTCAGGTGTTATTTCTCTTTACCCTGTAAATTCACGGCATATCCCACTCTTCAAACCGAAATACAGCCATGCAAACACAACTGCTTTACGGTTGAAACACGAATGGGACTGAGGTACCCAAGCAAACGACTTTTATACAAAGTCTCCCTCTTATATGAAAATAAATCTAATTTCTCACGTTAGTATAATGCTAAGCGATATTCATATTATTGTTTGGAATAAATAATAAAAATATTTTTTAAGTATTGTAATAAATATAACATATAATTCTTTTTATTTATTTCAATGAGAAAACATAGTTTTTATTATTTCTAAAATAAGAAAGAGTTCTTGTTTTAACAATTAAGTAAAAATATGTTTAAATTACTTTTAGGTAGGTATTTTTATGCTTCTTTTTTCGTTGGATGCAGTTAAATTAATAAAAATAATTTATAAGTAGTTTATGAGTAAGTCTAAGTTTTGTTTTTATATTTAATAACACTCTTACAATACAATGATAAGTAAACAAAACTAATACAGGCAAAGGGGCGTGTACTTACAGGTCATCTGGGTCGATTGGTAATCTGTCCATTGTCATCAATTCATTCATAGGATAGCCGGCGACTGTAAGGATGAAGCAATATACAAATGCGGGTTTAAAAACGCGGCTCCCGGTATCTGCGGAAAACTGAGGCGCGAGGAAAACGTCTCACCTCAACGACGACTGGCTACGCACTGTCTGATTTTTGCACTGTTCGCCACTTCGCTTATATATTTCGCCAATTGCCATACAACAGGTTTAATACGATGTTTTGTAAATTTTCATCTACACATTTTACTCGATATGATAACATTAAATAAACACTCTTACAAACATTGTTATGTTTCAGTCACACACAATTTCTCTATAAATATCACGTGCCTCTGTGCCAAGAACAGAAAGAAATCAAGTGTTCCTCTAAATACAAATTGGATTGTAGTAGGTAGCAATATAAATTTATTGGTGAATATGTTTAGTACCTATTATTTTTTTATATTTTATATTTTTTTTGTAAGCGAGAATGCAACTCACCTAATAGTCACTATAATTGTCGCTGTTCGTGAACACCTGCAACATTGGAGGAAAAGCAGATGTGCTGCCATCCTTTTAAAATGGAATATGCTCTTTATTTCTTTAGAGTCAATTAGAAAAATTTCGGCCTTCAGTTAAATTAAAAAAAATTAGATAATTATTTCATACAATTTAAATTAATGTTTTGGGAATGTTTAATAGTGAACAATGGATAATTTAAAATGGTAATATTTAGACTTTGTTTTTGTTGGATAAATAATCGAATTACATGGCAATCAAAATAATGTAAATGACCGTGAATACTTAAAATGAAAGAATTCATCAAATGGACTTGCTTTAGAAATTAAATTGTTGATTATATTCAATTATGGAATTGTCAGATGTAAGTTGTTGCTAAATTAACTCCTATTACGATTAAGCGACCTATTTAGAAAATTTTCGCAGTAAACTGTAAATTAGATAAATTAAAAGCACCATTTTAGGATTTGTTTTAGGAAATTATAAATCATTAAAGTTTCTTTTAGATCCCGAGGTCTATGATTTAAATGTATTTATATTTGCAATTTTAGCACAATTAGTGCTATATATCAAAATTTAAGAAAAAGATACATACATACCTTTCGAAAACAATAAAAAAAATCGAAACTCAGTGACAACACATTTGAGCATTTATTTATACCATTTATATAATACGAGTATACGAATAGAATATTATAAATGCGAAAGTTTGTAAAGATAGTTGGATGGATGGAAATCTGTAACTTTTTAACAAAACTACTGAACGGATTGGAATAAACTTTGGTACACGGGTAGATGTTATTTTAACTTATCACATAGAATATTTTATGTATTTACAGGTTTACGCAAACAAAGCAACGGGATACAGCTTACAATAGATTAATTTATAGGAGACGATATGATTAAAGCAATAAAAATAAGGTAACTTGTGTTTGTCATTTGCACGGAAGTGAACAGATATCCGCTAGTAAATATCTATGATTTAAATGTTATTAAGGCGCTGCTTTAGCGTAATCTCCAGGTTTTATTTTCGGTGAAATATCATTAAATTGTTATAAAATCATAGATATAGCTGTAGGTGGTATAACGTAATTGTGTACTTAATGAAACTGAAAAGTTATTTCAGTATAATATAGATATAATTTCTTTTTAAAGTATTCTACATGATAACTTACAGATTTTTTTAAATCAAAATAATTGGGAAAACCCTAACCTAGTATTCTCTTAGGACTATAATTATATTTTCGTTAAAATAAGCAAAGTGGTTTTTAACTGTTTTGAAAAATAATGTTTTTATGTTATGTTTACATTTTAAAAATGTATGTTTAATGAAAAAGCTTCTAGTCAAGAACTATGAATATAATAAATTAGCTGGTAAGTTATAAGTAAATTATAAATAGTTGTACGGATGTCTGTCATTTAGTCTGATTAAAAAATAAAAAGTTACGACATAAAATTATAATTTAAGTATAAAATACATCAATTACGAATATTTCAGTTTTATAACAGATTGTAGCAGTCAATCAGATTATTTTTTTACTATCTTGAATAAAATATAAAATTGTGAATAAATAAGATTTTACTCAATTCTATTCAACAAAACATCTATTCGAAACTGTTCACAAATTCTGGTCACGGTATTTGAGCTCTTTAGACAACAGAGCAAAATTCTGTATAATTGCTGACTTGCAAGAAAGAAACAACAATTTTTTACCAATGTTCAATCTTTTTTTTCATTTTTGTATGCGAATTATTCACATTATTAGAATTATGCCAATGAACTTTTTCTTTCATATACAGAATAATAATCAGCCTTTGTCACGATCGTTCCCGGCTATAATTACCCTCCAACATTTCACTCAAAAACTGGTATTTTACTGAAAGCTACCAGACTTTCAAAAGTAGACTCTAAGTATTTTTTCATGCATCTCTAAGTAATGTTTCATATTATTTTTTTATTATTAATCTGATCTCTGTAGCGCAGTAAAATCGATCTTTCTGTAAATTACGAGGACGTTTTCAAAATCAGAGATTTAAGTCTTACTTTACTTCTGTCTCACTCATGTTTCTGCCATCAAGCAGCTGTGTTCACATTGTTTCAGTTTTAACTGCGATATATAGTAATCCCTTATAAAAATGTCATTAATAATAAAGTTGACAAAAAAACCTAAGGAAGTATAATAGCAATTAACAAAATTGTAACATGGAAGCCTACTAAAGAACTTTAATGCTAAAAACTATCTCTTCCTTTGTATAAGTATTGTATAATTCCATAATATCCTTTGAAAAATACTGTAAGACAATACATATCCAGAAAAACTTCTGTTTATGCTTGTTTTTTGGACATCAGCCGTGCTTTTGATACAGTTAACTATAATTTGCTTTGGAATACATTGCGTGAGACAAGGGTTCCACCTAATATTACAAATATACTGGAATTTTGGTACGAAAACCAGTTAGCCAGCCTAAATAATATCAGTTATGCGGACGACATGGTCTTGCTGAGTCCGTCAGTCAATGGTCTTAGAAAACTAATTGAAATATGTGAACAATATGCAAAGATACATCATTTAACATATAATGTTAATAAATCGGAAATTATTATTTTTAAATATGGAAAGGGACCTAAAATTTTGCCAAAAATTAATTTATGTGGGAATACTATAAAAATAGTTAATAAATTTATAATCTTGGACATATGTTGACAGAAGATCTGAAAGATGATAGCGATCTGGAGAGACAAAGGCGTAACATTGCATGTAGAAGCAATATGCTGGCTAGACGATTTAACCACTGTTCGAAGCTAGTCAAATTGACATTGTTTAAGTCTTATTGTCAGGCTTTCTACACTAGCCAGTTATGGTATAGTTATACGAAGAGGGCTTATAACACACTGCGTGTGCAATACAATAACGCATTTCGAGCGATGCTCAACTTGCCATGGCGGTGTAGTGCGTCTGGCATGTTTGCAGTAAACAGGATTAATGATTTTTTTGCTATTTTACGTAATTATAAGGCAAAATTTCATGACAGATTAATGACAACAAGTAATCATATTGTAAAGACTGTATTTCTCACAGCATACCTGACGACAAGAGATTTTATAACGAAATAATTTAAATTGGTATTTTATAAATAATGTACATTTTAAAAATAATAATAACAGTTTATTTAATTAATAATATAAAAATGTAAACTATGGGTATATACCTGAAAATAAAGAGATTTATTATTATTATTATATAAGTTCCTAAATATGAATATATAAAGGTTTAGTAAGTATTAAAACTTCTTGATACCAATAGGCATAAAGAGAATTTTTGGTAATATTAAGACTGCATAGAGCACTATTGATTCGTTTCCTCTATTCGTTTGATCAAGTAATAATTTGTAGGTCATATTGTCCTATATTTGGTATAAATTTGCTGCTTAAATGTGACCTTTATAATTATCAGATTTGTTGCGATTTAGGTTATTAATTATCAAAATAGACTTGCCAACAATATCATTAAATTTTATTCTTAAATATTAATTTAAAAACTGGGATGTAATGTACCAAAGTTTTCATATATATTTAGCAGTAGGTATATAATTCGATAACGCACATCCAAATATCTTGTTGTGTCTTGAATCGTGAATTTGCAGATGCGTAAATAATAGGTATTTGGTATACTAAATTAGTTTTAATACACAACACAAGAATTTCAATTTACAGAAAAACGTATTGAATGTAAAAGAGTAAGTTGACAGGGGTAGACAATATAGATTACGATGACAAGCAAAAACTACTCTATCTTGACATCTCACACAATAGTGCACTATTGTATGCGATATTATGCGCGTATTCATATCACATCTTTATAAACTTTCATAATACTATTAGTAGGAAGTAGGATTTATTGGTTAAATGTGTTTAGTATTGTGTTTTTTATTTCTTTTAAAATAATGTTGCAATATAGTAAGGAAGTTTATGCACATTGCATCTTTTCAGTAAAACCTTAATTCTTTCTGATGAAATAGTTGTCATAAAAATATATTATCTACTATGTACTTTCTAACTTATAATAATAGTTTTGTTATGCAATTAAGTTTTAATTCTAACTTTTTATTAATATGAAAACCGACACAATATTCTATAAATATTATAAATGCAAAAATTTTCTACGATGGATGAAAGGGCAGCTAGATAGTTGGATGTTTATTACTCTTTCACGCACAAATTACTGAATGGATTCGAATGAAATTGTAGTACACGAATGTAGTGAAGACTCGAGATACAACTAATATCGGTATAATTTCTAACACCAGCTGCAATGAAACTACTTGTGGAACCCAAGATGGCACTTTACATAAGTCATTACACAAGAACATTATTAGTTCGGTTCTGTTGCGCCACCACAATAACTGGAATAGTAGTATTACTCTTTTAATTATTAGCAGAGTAAGAAAAAGTAATTACTGTCTTAATATCGCTAAAGGCTTGTGCAGTTACTGGATGGTCTTTGTGTACAAAGGACAATTTACGAAGGACTTGTCTTTTTTGTGATGGGTAGAAATATATATACATCGAAAATTATTATTGTACATTGTTTGAGTAGGTTATTGTAGATTGGATTAGATTATAGAATAAAAAATTAAGGTTTTATTTAAAAAAAATATCTTTAC